TTCTTAATGTGGTATTTAGGCTAGATGGAAGACACCTCATTTCAATGGTAGAAAGTCTCAGAATTCTCTTATTGGACTAGCCATGGCATATGGGGAACCTGTTGCCTTGGAGTCAATTTTGACTCATAGTGACCTCATAGGACAAAGTAGAACTGCTCCACAGGGTATATAAGGCCAAAATCTATATGGAATCAGACTCCACATCTTTCTCTCAATTTAGTAGCTAGTGGGTTCAAACTGCACACCTTTTAGTTAGTAGCTGAGTGCTTCCCGTACTGTCAGGAATTCTGTATATGGGAAAGGATTTTTCAACTCAACAATTTTAACTTGTTCATTTATCACAATGGTTGAGCTTGCTATTGTTGTTGTTAGATACTGTCAAGTCAGTTACGACTCATAATGACCCTGAACAACAGAATGAAACACTACCTGGTGCTGCACCATCCCTACAATTGTTGGTACTTTGGAGCCCATTGCAGTTGTCACTGTGCCAATCCATCTCATTGGGGGTCTACCTCTTTTTCACTTACCCTCCACTTTACCAAGCATAATGTTCTTCTCCAGGGACTGGTCTCTTCTGATAATATGTTCTAATTATGAGACACCAAGTTTCACTTTCCTTGTTTCTAAGAAGCAATCTGGCTGTACTTCTTCCAACAAAGATTTTGTTTTTGTTGTTGTTGTTCTTCTAGCAGTCCATGATACTTTCAGTATTCTCTAACATCATAACTCAAATGCCTCAATTCGTTTACAGCCTTCCTTATTCATTGTCCAACTTTCACATGATTCTGAGGATATTGAAAATACCATGGCTTGGGACAGATATACCTCAGTCCTCAAACTGACATCTTTGCTCTTGAAACACTTTAAAGAGATCTTCCGCAGATTTGTATAATGCAATATGTCCTTTGATTTCTCCACTGCTGCTTGTATGAATGTTGATCATGGATCCAAGCAAAATTAAGTGTGAGGTTTTTTTTGTTGTTTTTTTTTTTACATTGAGGTGCAATCCAGACTGAAGGCTGTGGTCTTTGATCTTCATCAGTAAGTATTTTAAGTCTTTTTTTAAACTTCCAACAAACAAGGTTGTATCATCTGTATATCTCAGGTTGTTAATGAGTCTTCCTCCAATCCTGATATCATGATCTTCTTCATATAATATTTTCTCAGATTATTTGTTCAGCAAACAGATTGATTAAGTAGAGTGAAAGAATACAACATTGGCACACATCTTTCCTGATTTGAAAGACTGTTTCTTGCTCTATTAAAAAAAAAAAATTCCTTTTCACATTCCATTGAGTCACTTTGGAATAATAATAATATATACATGTTGCCCTCAAGTTGGCTCCATGTCATGGCAATCCAATGTACAATAGAGAAACATTGATAAGTTCTGAACCATTTTCACAATTGTTGGCATGTTCAAGTCTATTGTTGTAGCCACTGTTTATTCTCAGCGCCTTTCAACTCAGAGGTCACATATTCCAATACCATGTTAGATGACATTTTGTTGTGAACCATAGGTTTTCATTGGCTGATTTTCAATAGATCAGCAGGCTTTTGTTCCTAGTCTGTCTTAATCTGGAAGCTTCATTAAAACCTGTCTACCATGAATGATCCCGCTGATATTTGAAATATCACTTGTACAGCTTCCAGTATTATAGCAGCACACAATATACCACAGTATGACAAATAGTTACATGGGTAGTGAGAATATACAAGGGGCTTCAAATAGTTTGTGGAAAAATTCTATTATAATTCCATTTTCCATGAGCTTTTTGAATCCATCTCCTATATGATTATATATTTCAAATCACCTGTGTTTGAAGTCCAAAGTGCTAGGAAGGAGAACCAGATTGGTTCAGTTGGAGTGAGATGCCTATTCTTGATTCATTTAATTTTAAGAAGAAAGGATTGCATGGAGTCAAATCAATCTTTGTCCACACAACCTCTCAGCGGATAACAGCAGATACTGTGGGACAAGCTCTTTCAAATATAGGTTTCATAGTATGGAGAAGATAATGGGTGTCTCTGAGGTTATAAAAGGTGTGGTATTGACTTTTTATCTATGTGGGCAAAGATGGGCACCTTAAGAATTGGCATGGAGTCTACAAGAACAGGTCGATAAAGTGCCATCAGAGGAATGGATACAGAATACTATAAGAAATCATGTTGTTAAGTACCGTAGAGTTGTTCTGACTCATGTTGTTGTTGTTGTTGTTGTTAAGTGCCGTCGAGTCGGTTCCGACCCATAGCAACCCTGTACAGGGTTTCCGAGGGTGTAAATCTTTACGGGAGTAGAAAGCCTCATCTTTCTCCCGCAGAGCGGCTGGTAGTTTCGAACCGCTGACCTTAAGGTTCGCAGCCCGATTCGTAGCCACTACGCTGACCCTGTATAGGGTTTTCAAGGGGTAACTGGTGAATTTGAAGTGCCAACCTTGTGGTTCAAACTGACTTTGTGGTCCAGTGCTTATCCTATAGTGTCACACTGAGACGCCACAAAATAAAGCAGTGGACAGATGTTTAAAGATTAAAATATGGTAAAAGAACATTGTTGTTCTTGAGAGCCATTGAGTCCATTTTGACCCATAGCAGACCTGTATAGGATTTCTGAGGAGCAACTAGGGAGCTTGAACTGTTGATCTTGTGATTCAAACTCACGTTGCAGTCCAGCGCATTAACCCACAGCACAGGAATGAAGTAGTTGCATAATTTTTGTCCTGTACTAATGACCAGACACTAATGAAGATGGGAGTTTGAAAGTTACTGGATTCGTTTCCATAGATTTATTTGCTTAAAACAAAACAAAACAAAAATTATTAATTTACAGTTGTTTAGGTCGTAAGTATAAGCTACAAGATGTCATCAGAATTGAGTCCCTTTCTGGAGGCTTTGGGGAGAGTTTGTTTCCTGCTCATTTGGATTGGTGGCAGAAAGCAGCTGTTGTAGGCCTAAGGCTCCTGTTTTCTAGAGGTCTATCAGCTGAGGTCCACTCTTAGAAACTGTCCTTAGCTCAGGATCTGCTTCTTCCTTCTTCAAAACCAGCAACGCCAGGCCAAGTCCCTGCCATACTTCAAATCCCTCTTCTCCTTCTTCTGTTTCAACTCACTCTGACTCAACTGGGAACGCTCTGAACTCACATTATTTAAAATATACATCTCACCTCTTTCTGACAGTTTCTCTTATTTTCCCCCTTTTAAGGATCCATGTGATTATATTTGGCCCACTCAGATGATCCAGGATAATCTCATCATCTTAAATTCCTATCTTCATCAAATTTGCAAAATCCCTTTGCCATGGGATTTTGCTACCTGTGAGATCATGAGAAGAAGAAACAAATTTGTGTTGGAAGACATATAGCCAGAATGCTCTTTAGAAGCCAGAATGAGGAAACTTTGTCTCTGATACTTTAGGCATAGTATTAGGAGGGAACAGTGCCTGGATCTGTAGAAGGACATCGTGCTTGGTAAATTGTAGGGTCAGCAATAAAGAGGAAGACCCCCAGTGAGATGAATTGGCACTGTGTCAACAGCAATTGGTTCAAATGTAACAGTGATTGTGAGGATGGTGCAGAACTAGGTTGTGTTTCATTCACCACAACCATATGCCTGTACATACTGAATATATATCTGTAATTGAATATATATATATACTCCCACCCAACACACACACATATATATATATATATAGTATTTACCTTTCCTGAAAACCCCACTGCGGTGGAGCATACATCAGGAAAAATGATGAAAACTTCTTAGATATTAACAGTCATCTTAAGGAAGTGGGTTCCTGGACTTAGGGGTTCAGGAATATAGTCTCTAAAAACACCATGGTCAATTGGTATAGCATAGTCCACATAGACGATGTTCTATATCCACTTTGGTGAATAGAGCCTGGGATCTTAAAAGCTCATGAGCTTTTAAGCTAATGAGCAGCTCTTTGTCTAAGGTGCAGCTCTTGGTCTCTCTGTATGAAGAAGAAGGAAGCGTGATAAGAATTGAAGAAGTTTGGAATCAATTATTATTATGGACTAAGGGAATATGTGAACATCAGTCTCCATGACTCTGAGACCAGAATAACTAGACTGTGTCCAAATACCACTACCAACTTCTCTGAAAGGGATCACAATGGAGGGTCCTTGATGGAGTGGGAGAAAATATGGAAAAAGAACTCAAAATTATAAAAAAAGAAAAAAAAAGACTGGGTTTACTGGTCAGAAAGAGAGAGACTAGAGGAACCTGAGACTCTGGACCTCAACCACCCTTCAAGATTGGAAAGGAACGCACCCTCATGGACCAATTTTCATCCAAGTAGTAGATAGGTCTATAGGGGAGACAACAACACTAGTAAGGGAGGCTCACCATGGAATTCTCCATCATTCAAAATCAAAAGGGCAACATTTTCCTAAGGACAACATTGAAAAGGGATAGGAAGGTAGGTAGAACTCTAGTAGCAATACATTTCACTTACTCTTGTATGTGTATATTTAAGGGCACTGGGCCGTCCCTTCCTGTTGTTGCTGGGGCTATCGTTGCCTTTGTTGTTATCTATATTTTTTGCTCTCAGAGGTGAAGTCAGCCATTCTGCCACATCTGAAAAGCCCAAGTAAAAAGTGTCCTTTCTTAATTACATGTGGTTGCATTTCTTAGACTATCTTAGTAAAGTCTATAACAGCAAAATAAAAAAGCAATGAGAAAACTAAGATGATCTAGATAGGCTAAGTGGCACTTGATTTTAAAAAGTATTAGAACCAGGTTTAAGATTTAGATTTTCTGACTTCAATACTTTTCCATTAATCCAGTATTCCATATGCGACGCAATAAAAAAATAGAGTCCAGAATATATTATTTCTTTATGTCTGAATTGCCTTCTTTGCATTTTGACTACAATGATTTGCCTCTGATGTAACAGCAACCCTAGTTCTGTTTTTCAAACATACCATTCTCCACGTGGAGGCAAAAAGTTGAAAATGATCATTCTGAGCAAAGTTTAATAAAGTTTCAAGTTCTCTTGTGTAATAAAGACATAAGTTTGCTGATTGCTTCTCTCAAGACCTCCTTTACCTTTTCATTCCTCAAACTGTAAATGAAGGGATTCAGAAGAGGAGTCACCATCGTGGTGAGGACAGCAGTTACCTTGTCAAAATTCAATGAATGACTCTGACTGGGCCTAACATACATGAAGATGTTGCTTCCATAGGCAATGGAGACAACAGTGATGTGAGAAGCACAAGTGGAAAAGGCCTTCTGGCGTCCTTGGGCTGAGGGGATGCGCAAGATGGTAGAGATGATGTAGGTGTAAGACACAGTGGTGAACACCAATGAGGTCAGGAGGATGAGGGACGATAGCAGGAAGTTTATCATCTCAATGAAATGAGTATCAACACAGGCGACCTGTAGCAGAGGGGCGATGTCACAGAAGAAGTGACTAATCTCTTTATAACAGAAAGGTAATCTAGACACCACAATAGTTGGGCATAGTACTGACAGGAATGCTCCCACCCAACAGCTCAGAACCAGCCAGAGACAGACTCTACTGTTCATGATGATGGTATAGCGCAAAGGGTTACAGATGGCCACATAGCGGTCAAAGGACATGACAGCCAAGAGGATGAACTCCACTGTCCCCAAGAAAAAAAAGAAGTATGTTTGGGTGATGCAGGCAGCAAAGGATATGGTCTTCCTCTCTACTAGGAGACAGGATAACAGCTTTGGGGTAACTGAAGTAGTGTATAGAATGTCCAAAACTGACAGATTGCTGAGGAAGAAGTACATTGGAGTTTGGAAGCGGTTATCAGCCCATATTAGGGAAATGATGACAATGTTTCCTGTTAGAGTAAGCATATAAATAAACAAGAGAAGCACAAAGAGGAAAATTTGAAGCTTCTGGAGAACAGGAAAGGCAGTCAGGATAAATTCAGTCACTGTGGTCTGATTCTGTGTGTCCATTGTATGCAATAGTTAGTGCGCAGCATGTCTCTGAAAAAAAAAATCATAAAATAGACAAAAATTAAATTAAATAAAGTTTCACCTCAAAATCTGTTATAGGAAGGAGTAAAGTAGATAAAACTTTATATAAGAGTTCAAAGTGGAGTCCTGGTGTGTAGCTGCAAGGTAATGCACTGGACCAAAATGTCAGTTTGAACCACAAGGTCACTGGTTCAAATCCACCAGCCAGTCTTTGGAAACTCTATACAGGATGTCTATAAATCCTATACAGGGTCAGAACTGGCTCAATGACACTTAACAACAACAACAACAACAACAACAAAGAGTGATTTGTTCTAGTCCTGTCTCTGACTCTAATAAATGTGAAATCTTAGATATATTACATTACTTCTTCAAACCTCAGTAGTCTCATATTTAAAGTTTTGGTTGAATGACATTGTCTTACTGGTTGCCATCATTTAAAGAAAATATGATTTTATTCTCTTTCACACAATTTCCCTGCTCTGCTCTACTATTTTCCCAGTCAATTTCTATACTTAGTTGTTGTTATTATTGTGATGTGCCGTGGAATCGTTTCCAACTCATAGTGACCCTGAACAGGCTTTCTGAGGCTGTAAATATTTATGGGAGCAGAGAGCCTCATCTTTCTCCTGAGGAGCAGCTGGTAGTTTCGAACTGCTGACCCTGAGGATAGCAACCCAATTCGTAACCACTATGCAACCAGAGCTACATAATTAACTGGGAATCTCATCATTAGATCTGGAAAATGGAAAGAGGGAATATTAATAAAAGTTGTGTTCATTTTCTTAAAATTATTTTAACTTTTAGGATATTTTACAAATCACAGCACAGAAACGATGAATCCTTGCCAGGACAGTGGTAGAATGATTTGGGGATTTGTCTCAGCCCATTTCTATCTTTGATACTAAGTACTGAATATCAATGAACTATCTAGTTGGATAAGTAACTGTGATATATTAATAGTGGATTTCTTCATAAAGTAACATAGTTTTATTATTTTTCTGTAATATAAAATGTTTCATGTATGCACTATCACAGAAAGCATAGATCTATAAGATATGGTTCACAATCTGTGTAACCAATTTAATATATTTATGAAAAATATCTCTTAGAAAAATGTTTCTTTTTTATTCCATGAACAAGTTATGGCAACATGTAAGAGAATAAACAACCCAACCGATTGTTACAACTTCTCTGAAATAGATCCCTTAGAATTTATAGTCTTTTCAGACATTTGGAAAGCAAGTTATTTTCAAAGCCGTAACTATTTGAGGGATCAATTACCACCAAGAAAGGAGAATCAGGAGCAGATCAAGTCCTTTGGACCCAGGGTCCACGCACTGTGGCATCTCCTGCTTTTGTTAAGTGATGTTCAGTCAATTCTGACTCATAGCGACCCTATATAAGATTTCCAACAAGCAATTGGTGAGTTTGAACTACTGACCTCACGGTTAGCAGTCCAGTGCTTATCTTCTAGTGCCACACCAGAATCTCCTAGGATCTGAGAAAGATTGATGCCAAGATACCTAGAGATCTCCATGGGACTCTGGGTCCAAAGATGGTAAAAGGAGACAAGGATCTTCCCCCCAGAGTAGACAGAGAGACACTGCCTTCCCCTAAAGCCAGCATGCTGAATGTAGACTTCTAGCCTCTTAAACTGTGAGAGAAAAATTTTCTGTATGCTAAATCTAAAAACAACACAAAAACAAAAAACCAACCATAACCATTTGTGTTGCATCAATTGTGAATCATAGTGATCTCTGTGCACAGAGAAGAACTATGATCTATAATGTTTTCATGGTTGTGAGCTTTTGGAAGCCAAACACTAACAATTTGTGTCACCTAGGAGATCCTCCAGTTCACTATTAGTTGTTGTTATTATGTGTCGTGGAGTTGATTCCGACTCATAGCGACCCTGTACAGGGTTTCCGAGGCTGTAAAGCTTTACGGGAGCAGAAAGCCTCATCTTTCTCCAACAGAACAGCTGATAGTTTTGAACTACTGACCTTGCTGTTCGCAGCCCAATTCGTAACCACTATGCTACCAGAGCTCCTTTCACTATTAGTAATGCTAAGTAAATATATAAACACAAAACTGGAGCATCAAATACATGCAAGTAGATGCTCTTTGAAACCCTCAGCTTCATCTCTGAATAGAGCTTAACTTTGCTGTCCATAGAATTCACCTGAAGCTCTGTTTGTTGGTATATTATTTTATGACTAATTCTCTCGTTTCAAGTTAAAATGTCCAGTTTCTAATCACTGAACACAGTGCTTTCTTGGTTTGCAGTTGACCTTGTTTCTCTTTAAAGATTATTTTTTCTCCAAGCCTACTACCTGAAAATGTAACTTCTAACAGATGGCATTTATTTTTTCCCTTGCGTCTTTTACTGACAAGATTTCTATCTGAAAAGTTGACTGTGACCTTTTCTGGTCTCTGTAGCTTTCTCTTAATTTCTCTTCATTACCAATTTATCCCACAAATCAACTCATTCTTAGTCCTGTTATAAGAACAGTTTTTGTCTTTACCTTTTTTGTTCTAGATAAGATAAAATTGTTTGCTTATTTATTTTTTTAGAATTACTTGACATTTCTAGGTTGTTGATAAATAATCTCCTTTACAAATTCATTGTGGTTTCTGTCCATTTGAGTTGTTACAAAACGAATCAGAGAGAATAACTTTAGTTGCAATGGAATTTAGTAATATAGTTCATTTTACTTCCTTTAAATCCTGGGTCTGTTTTTACATCTATAAAGAAGGGTATCGATTATGCCCATGTTTCTTCAGTTTAAATATATATATATTGTTTACCATGAGGACAATCACCATCTGTATATAATCTCCCATTTATTTAGTAAGTAAATGAATTATAATTGGGAGAACTTCTCCTTAAACATTAATTTGTAGCTACCCTGAGATATAGCAATGATAAGCTCTGTAACCTGTCTTCCCATGTATCAAATACAGACACCTATCAAAACTTGTGTGGTGCTTTAGGATGGGCAATGAACTGATTTTCCAAAAGGTTCATGGTTCAAACCCACCAGCTGCTCCTTGGAAACCCTATACTGGGTTGCTATGTGTTGGAACCTACTCAATGACAAATAACAACAATAACAATCATATCTTGTACTTAGATTTTCTTGAAGTCTTTCCATTTTTCTTTAATATTTAATATAGTGGGATACAAGTCATCCTTAGAAATTGCATAAAGTTTTAGTTGTAAATAATTAATGACAACTGTCAACACTTATGGAAGCAGCAGTCAAGAATCAAACAACATATTGTATTAGTCAAATCTGCTGCATAAGACCCTTTTAAAGTGTTGAAGAGCAAAGATGTCAGTTTGAGGACTAAGGTGTGCCTGATCCAAGCCATGGTATTTTCAATAGCCTCATATGCATGCGAAAGCTGGACAGTGAATAAGGACAACCGTAGAAGAATTGATAAATTTGAATTATGGTATTGGAGGAGAATATTGAAAGTGCCATGAGCTGCCAAAAGAACAAACAGATCCATGTTGGAAGAAGTGCAGCCAGAGTGCTCCTTGGAGGCCAGAGTGGCCAAACTTTGTCTCTCATACTTTGGACATATTGTCAGGAGGGACCAGTCACTGGAGAAGGATATCATGTTTGGTAAGGTGGAAGGTCAGAGAAAAAGAGGAATACCCCCAATGAGATAGATTGGCCAAGTGGCAGCATTGATAGACTCAAGCATGGCAACAACAATGAGGTTGGCCCAGGATCGGGCAGTGTTTCATTCTGCTGTGCATAGGGTAGCTATGAGTTGGTACCAACTCGATGACACCTAACAACAACAACACAGTATTAATATTTGGCATGTGGAAGGGACCCAAACACCAATATATCTAGAACAAGAATATATAGAGAAACAAGAAAACAGGAGGGGAAACAGTAGGAATGAAAGAGATTGGTTTGGCATAAGCAACATGCCTTTTTTTCATTTCTTTTATAATATTCTAAGTTATTACAAGATGGATTGATTTTCTTTTTTAACTTATCAAAAGACCCAAAAGGACTTAGCTGTTGAAATAGTGTCTTGGTACTAGAGGAACTCTTTCCCTCATTAATATTCTGTTTTCTCCTCTTTTCAAAATTCTACAACCTCCTTATCCTCTCATATAAAACAAAGAAAACTTACAAACTGTTCATTACTTCAGAAAAAGACATAGTCATATTGCAGTGGACAAGTTGCTGAGATAAAATAGAAAAATAGAAAACATTACTTGGCAAGTAGAAACACTTTAGAATTCTCTATTGATATTTTCCTCCTATCTTCATCACTGACATCACTTAATGTGACTTAATGGGGAAAATACAGCAGGTGTTAAGCATCACTAACCTGTCTTATATTACTGGTTTGGTCACATCTAGCTCTGTGCTCTATAATGAGATTCTTAAGCTCTCTGAGTCTTATCTTTCTTTCCCCTCTAAAATGGGTGTGTTATTGTTGTTATTAACTACCGTCAAGTTGGTTGCGACTCATAACGACCCTGTATAGGGTTTCCGAGGAGCAGCTGGTGGGTTTGAAATGCATCTTTCTGATCAAACTGACCTTTCTGTCCAGTGCTTATCCCACAGTGCCACACCAGGATTCCAAAATGGGTGTATTCATACTTTAAGGTGTAAGACAGTGATTTATACCTAGTTGTTGTTGTTAAGTGCCATTGAGTCGATTCTGCCCCATAGCGACCTTGTATAGGGTTTCCGAGGAGCAGGTGGTGAGTTTGAACTGCCGACCTTGCAGTTTAAATGGCTTTGCAGTCTGGCCCATTAACCCACAGCGCCACACCAGCACTCCTTTACCTAGCTGTTATTAACATAGACAGAGTTGGATAAGGATGAACATGAATGGAATAAAACATGGAAGGAAGATTAGCAGTAATTAGAGCTCTTTGTTTTTATATCATGGGACAAATATCAGTAAACTGAAAAAGTTTAATTGTAACTAACCTGCTG